CGACAAGCAAGAAGTTCGCTCATCCAGATAGGTTCAGTCATTCTTTATAAACTTGTATTAGAGATGTTTTTAGCCAGATAAAGTATTCTATCTCAAATCTTTTGTTATGTTTTTCTGCACTAAAATTTTACATTTCTTTTATTCAAACTAGTTTTATGCATTTATTCATCATATTAGCTTAGTGCTTTGAAAACGAAATAATACTTGTACATTTCAGAACTGCAAACCGAATTGTTCAAAAATACTTACGTAAAAAACTTTACGTCAGTTTGAAACATTTCTTAAAACTGCAAATCAGTTTAAGAACTTCTTAATACTGGACGCAGGTACAAAAAGTTATGCTTGATAGAAAAGAAATTAAACACACTAGTTACCTTTGGGAAAACAAAAAGTGAAGCTTTAAAATGCTTTTATCTTTTCTTTTATACATTATTTCTCAAATATGCATAATCACATTCTTTCATGAATCGTACCGAGTACATTCATTTATTATGCGGAAAATTCATGCAGCGAGACTCAAATTATGAAGCGTGAAAATTCCTTTAGTATACAAGACACAGAAAGACGGGACATAAATTTGTGTAAAGTTTCGTTAATTAATCCACGAAGCGCGTCAAAAATTGCTCAGATATTTGGTTTTATGACAAATATATTTTTGCATGAATATTTATTTATTAAAAATATAATCTAAGTTAAATCCTGTAAAAACCCGTAAGCTAAATTAACTCAAAGGTGTAATTCTGATGCTGATTTTAACTAAGAACATCTCCGCATTTGTTATTCAACTAATTATATAATCAGTATAAGCAGCCTGGTCTGCTTTTCGTGACAGCTGACAAGATATGAATTGGTAATTTAAAATGCATCAGCATTTTAAATTACCAATTCATATGTTGTAATATCTTTAAAATTTAACAAATAAGGACGTAATCATTTTTCTTAATTATGTATTTCGGCCGGATATTTTCGATTATGGAAATTGGAATCTGCACTAGTCGCATAGCTATTAATAATTAAAAGTAAAATTAGTTTAATTTATTATAATTCTCGTTTGTTTTAAAAATGAATGGGAAATTCAGTGTTAATAAATTCTGAAAGTTGACGAAAAACAGATGAAACCAACATCTTTCTGTTGATAAACATTTAGTTAAACTAGGGAAAAATATAGCAAAAATGCGCGAGTCCTTTAATTTATTTAATTATGGAAAATAAAGATTTCGCTGCAAACAAAAATTAAATCATTAGGGAGTTATAGTCAAATTCTGTTGAATAAAAATAAATAAATAAGTAAATAAAATATCTGAAAGCTTTCAGATTTGATATTACGCCCCAAATGGGCTTTTTTTTTTTTTTTTCATTTGCAGATACATACACGTTTCGAGACCATTTCAGCTAACGCCGCATTGGGCTAAAAATATTTAAAATTAGCATATGTTTAGAATTTCTGATCGCGAAAATCCCCCCCCCCCAGCGGGCGTCTGTTTTTCGTAGCGTGTAATGTTGTTTTCTCTGCACATCATAACTTCCCATATATAACTTTCGTAATGGATGAATGTCAATGAATATTAAGCAAAATTATAAGGAAATAAAGCATAATTGAAAAATAATAATATCTCTGCTTATCTCTAACAGTAGGATAATTTGATAACATCTGATCCAGGCGATACACTCCTCCCATTTTGTTGTTGTAATCTTTTACAATTATTGGTTTTTTTACAGTTCTTTTCCGTGTTCCAACATCAATCATCGAGTTGTTATGGACTCTACTCATGAAACGTATATCATTCTTGTCTTTCCAATTCACAACCTCATTTTTTTTTTTTTTTTTTTTTTTTTTTTTTGTTTTTTGTTTTCTGCTGAGTAGACGTTGAAGCCATCACTCACTGTCTTGTATCTTATGTAAAATGCGCGAATATTCATAAAACCCGGGCAAATTCAATTAGAAATAGAATGTCTGATTAGTTCTACCCTCTAGGAGGTAATATAGAAGAACGATTGAGGCGCGTTACGGCCGCCCTGCGGAAGTTTCACTTGAACGCGCTAGACGCGTTACGGACGACGAAGAGGTTAATCAAAAATGTGTTAAAGTTTTACAAACTATGAAATTGACACTAAAACAAATTCCAAATTCGGTCTTCCATGTGTACGTGTTCGGGTGGAGGGCTACGTTGTTCAAAATTTGAGGACTCTAGATAGCCCCCTTTTTTGCAATTAAAGAAACATACATACATTCATGTTGATTCTTCATTATTTAGTTTCCTTAAATATAATACAGGGAGATAATATTTGGTGGCAACAATTTGAAAATTTTTAACTGGTTTCAAACCCAGGCGAAAGGACTGGTCGCATGGTTGGTGTTTTTGATTTTTTCTCATGTGTAACATGAATATGAGCCAGTGGCCAAAGTTCTCATGTGCTTTGTCATATTCAAATTACCTAACTTAATCAATAGAGGAGAACTGTTTAACTTTCCGACAAATACTATATTTTTAATCAATGCAGTTCTACTCATAAGATCGGAAGTGACAAAGTATGCGATTATTCAAAGAATTACCGTATGTTTTATAATCTCCAAATCTACTTGTACTTAATAGTACACCTACTGGTATTAACCTAGCTGAATTAAGTTGCATGCATTATTACAATTATTGCGTTGAAATAAATGTAAACAAAGGATAACGCTGAAAAATTTCATATTTTGCTTGATTAAAATACGAAATATTCTAAGCCCAGCTTTCACTTTCCTTATCCCTCCTTGTCTGAAAAGATGACAGCATCGTGTACCACCAACAAGTAGTACCTTTTTTATGAATGACTGATATAGTCATGGAAGTCTTCCTCGCATATACCACAACGATGGGGAGAAATGAATAGAAATGAAGATCTACAGGTTCCCTAAGAGCCATGCTTAAGCGAGATTTGCGAATTTAAATGCGCCTTTCTCTGTTACCTTCCGACAGCTAGTTAGTGAACTTTACTCATTAATGTGAATTTATGCCCAAGACCTTCCTTTGCGTGACTGGAAAAATCTCCTGGACGTGGTCGAGGAGGAAACAAAATACCGTCTAGTTTCGTGTCGAGGGACATTGCCGAAATTTCGCATGATCTTTGCAGTTCACACGTAAGTTTCTTGGAAATGATGTGCATATATTTTGGTTCGAGTAAAGTCGGCTATTATTAGTTGGTATTTTAAACTCGGTTAGGTTCAAGAATACAACTTCATATTTTAGTCAGTATCAAAATGGTGGGAGATTTAGTATCTTTGACAGCCGTTCTCTACTTGTGCCTCTTTAAATTTGTATGTTTTGCAAAAGTTATGACAGTAGAAAATCACGTGTTAACATGAAAGGAAGTTTGTTATTAATATTTTAGTTTTTTTATTCCTGAAAATAGATACTGAATTAAAAAAACTCTTTCGCAGTTGTTGTGGGAGGTGGGGTTAAAATGCTTGATTCAATAGCAGTTGAATGCCTGTTACTATTGAAATTCATATACGATGTGCATCAGATAAAAAAGAAAATCTCGGAGTTTTCAAATGCTATCAAAATGTTGATATATGTCAAAAGGCCATATCATACATTTGAAACTTTCCTCAAGAATAACTCTTTTGCGCAATTTTTCTGCTTTGTCATATGATATAAAACAGCCAATCACCACTGATCACTTTGGGTTATCATGTAAAGAATAAATTGGTGCTTCATTACAAACACTGAGCTATATAGCAAATATGCCAAGAATTTCATTTTCATCATGACATTTTTCATGTAACCAAAGTGATTACATAAAGCAAATATGCAAAATTTCAAAAACGTTTCTTTTATTTCATACGTAACTGGTTTGTAGACTTAAAAATTTTGAAATTAAATCAACTATATTGAATAACATAACAATTTATCCAATACTGTTCGTTATTTACGTCTCTTCGACTGCTGGCGGAAATTTCGATAACGGTCGCCAATCGCCAGTTCTTCTGCGGCTATTTAAAGCATACAGTCATCAATAATTGACGCTGAATTGTGCTACTTCGTTGGTTAACGGAATAATAATACGTAAGTAACTAATGTTCAGTAAGACAAACACATCCGATTCAAATTGTTCTACATAAAAGATTTTTTCTAATTTAAATTTTAATAGCCTTTTTTGTGGTTTAAGTTCTCAATGTCTATCTCGAATTATGTTCAAAATTTACAATGAACGATCTTGTAAAACTAGCGCTGAACTAAGATTCAAACGGGAATCATTTGTTTAATAAAAAAAATTTACATTCTTTACATTTTCCACACTATTAACTGCTGGAATTCGTTTCGTATTTTTTTCCCGGATCAAAAATTCATACCAGTTAAAAAAAATTTATCAACAACGTTGTAAATAAGAACCTAAACACCGGAAATTCAGTCCGACTCATAACCTAGCGGGCCCACGAGTGGCCGAGCGGTAAAGTCGCTAAACACTGGTAGTTCGATCCGGGGTTTGAATCCCAGCTAACGGGCTGGCTGCAAAGCCGTTTTCGTGGTTTTCCCCGTGTATAACGTGTATACAATCCAGTTTCCCTTAGAAAGTCATCCACGAAGGCATTTCTTCTCTTAGACAGATAGCCCTACTGTGCTTTGGCATAATAAACTAAAACCAAACCAAACCAGATCTTAATGAATGTGTTAGCTTTATAAAGCGTTTTTGTGATTTTCGGAATGTGTAACAAAAATGCCATCCAGTTTCTTTAAAATGTCCTTCACAAAGACATCCTTTACCTTAAACAAGACAATCCTAATGTGCTTTGACATAATGTATTAAATTCAATCCAGTTAGTAGATAAAATGCTTAAAGTATATTCTCTCTAATCTTGAAGTATATTTACATTTATAGCATTTTCTCATTTCACCATGATAAATTAATTTACAATTCATATGCAAGTTTTTAACTTTTTCATTTAATCAATAGATGCTGAGTTACTTTCAATGTAATCTTATGAGTTCTTTTTTTTTTTTTTTTTTTTTTTCTAGGCGTTTCGGAACAAAATGTTCAGGATGTTCACAAGGTATTTCTCCTACGGATTTGGTCCGTAGGGCGAGAAATAAAGTATTCCACCTCAAATGTTTCACCTGTTTGGTGTGTCGGAAGCAACTGTCCACAGGTGAAGAGCTTTACGTTTTGGACGAGAACAGGTTCATCTGCAAAGATGACTACCTCAGTAGTAGGCATAGTCAAGGTAAGTTATCTCATTTACAAGTTGTATAAAACTGAGATGGATATTTCTTTTCCTTAATATGAAATTAAATTAATGTGTAAATTTCACGATTTTGGTGTAAGATCATAAAGAAATTGCATGGAAGAAAGAAAGCCAAAAGCACCAACCAGTGTGTCGTCAATGCCACTAATGTGAGGACAAATTCCGAAGCTTTTATTTTAAGACGAATTAAAAAAAATCTGGTGTGTACACCACATGACTTCCTTGTACGGAATATTAAATTATAGGCATTTTTTCTTGCATTTTATTTAAACTTATTGGATTGAATTAAAGCTACTTCGCCGACAGCGTATAAACCACAATAGAATAAATGCATTCTTTAAAATTCACTCTAGTATTTCTTTACCATAGCGACACTCTGGTGCTAGATTCACTTAACAGTATTATATTTCGTTCATTTTATAACTCATAATGCACAAAACTTATATCATTTAAGGAATAGAATTATCTAATCGTTGCCACATGTTCTATTCAAATACTATAATAAAGCTAGAATGATGTATAAAAGAAATTAAGCAAATAAAACAAAAAAGAAACAGTTTTTCGCAGACGATTGAGTATTTCTCATTCAATTAATTCAGTTCTCACTTCGCGAAAGTTTTCGAAAATACATAAAAACTCAAAATATATATATTAAAAATTACGAAGTAAATCTTAAACATTTTTTTTCTCGAAAAAATTCCAGAAAGGATTAAGCATGATTTAATTGGCAATAATAAGTGAAGGCGCTATCTTTGTTGTTGCGAAGCTAAGTTTCTCTAGATTGGCAACAAATCCACTAGTCTGTTGTTTCAAATGTAAACAATCAATGGCCACCATAAAAAAGGCTTAGCGGCACTTAAACAACTTTAAAATTGTTGATAATTCTAAAAATATTGCATACAAATTTACTAAAGGCATAAAAATCTTAACCGGAAGATAAAAACATTAAAGCAAGAAAGGTCTTCTGCTCAATTTCACATTGGAGAAGCCACAAAAATATGTATACAGGAAAACCCATTCGTCAGAATCCATATCCAGGTTAAACACTAGACTATGCCATCTAAAGTATAAGTACTTATTAAACTAGTATAACTGGCCTACGACCATGAGGTTTTTATCTTGTAGAGTCATTAGGTTATGAGCGTCATTAGGAGATGTAGAAAATGTGCAATACCCTCCCTGGGATTCGAACGTGGATACCTCAAATACTCGCGGAGTGTACTACAGTTACACCACGAAGGCACACTGGAAGGAGAAAGAAAATACCTTACATACTCCCCCTTGTAAATGACGATTGGAGGTTAGGGGACCCAATCACCAAATCTTGGTGGAAAAGAATTATTTTTCACCACCTTTTAGTTCGGGCGCCAGTGTAAAGTCATTAGGTTATTTTGAAGCAGGAGATGTGGAAAATGTGCAATACCCTTGCCGGACCCGAACCTGGACCTCTAGTATACGCACAGAGTGTGCTACCATTACATCAGAAAGGCATGACAGAAGGAGGGAGACAATACCTTATAATCTCTTCGAAGAAAATTCAAGTGAAATTTTTCTAAATTTCTCCAAAAGCGTAAAAATAATCACAAACATCAATATATGAAAAATCAGAATATTACCTCCATTCAGCGTGAGTCCAAATTCCTCTCGAAGATTTAATTTGAAATTCCATTCAATATATAAATGATTAAAGTTTGGCGAAACTGATAAAAGAAGCATCTCTGTATCCTTAGATCTCAAGTAAATATTCGATATGTTATCACTAATTAATCAAAGAAGAGAAAAATGAAATTGGAAGTAATATAGGTTCATTTCTGATCCTGCGATGACTACAGTTTAAAAAGTTTAAAGTTTAACCAATGCGTAAATGTAGACAGTTGATAACAAATTGCCTTTGAACTGATTTCTGCTAGTCCATGCTCCAAAAATAAATTTTCCGAACAAATCAAAAGGAAATAATATTAAATGTAGTCCCAAGTGGCGGAGTTTTTAAATTTATTCTTCAAAATCTCATCGTGGGAGCTATTAACACCAGCAAGATCCAATATTTGCGTTGGGAAGCATGTTTGTTACGTGGAAGAGGTTAGCTTAAGAAAGAAAATAAGCATAAAACTTTAGAGAATGCAAACATTGTGACCACATCTAAAGTTTGTAAGATTGAAAATAATCCGTTAGAATGAAGCTTTTCTCATTTCTTCATTCGTTAATAGCCATGCAAGGGAAATAAATATGAAGAAGATTTTACTAATAAAAATGCATGCGTAAATGAATAAATAGCTTATAGCTGTTATATGAATATTCGAATATAATTGTTACGGTTAAAAATCCAGCTTTAGCAGATTGTTTCCTAAACAGATATCTTCATAAGCAGATTAGCCGTCTTCGTGGCTCTTAGCTATCTTTATTTAGCAGAAATGTATTAAAAATATCAAGATACTTGAAAGATAATGATATGATTTAGTTGGTTTGGTTTGTTTTAGTTGATTATGATAAAGCACACTAGGGCCGTCTGCCTGAAAAGAGGGATGCCTTCGTGGAAGTCTTTCTAAGGGAAACTGGCTACACATGGGGAAAACCATAAAAGCCTCCATACACACGGCCCGTTCGCCTAGAGTCTAACCCAGAGCAGAACTGCCAGTGTTCAGCGACTTCAACCGCTCGGGTACTGGTGAACCGACATGATTTGTTGGTAGTTTGTAGCCTTCTAAAGTATTTAACTAAATTAACCAAATTATTTAAATTATGTCTGAATCTACACTCTCATCTCTCCCTCTCCGTTTCCCTGCCGTTAACTGAGGTAGAAAGAAATAGATTTTTAGACAAAGGTTTTAGATTGCTTAAATAGAGCATGTTCCGTCTGCTGAACGCCACGTTACTATTTGAAATTCTACGTTTGCATTATGTCTATATTTTATTCTTACGGATAACGCTATCATGCCGGTGTAAGTTTGAGCCAACTTGCGCACTAAATATTTCTGTGTAGCCTTTGATTGACTTTAGATTTAGTTTAAATGTGAATTCCTTACTTTTTAAGCCATAAATGTTGGCTGGTTTTGTAAGCACCAGGAATGCCTTCAACTATCTTAGTTCTTAATAAAAGGATCTTTTACACCCTTTTGACTTTTCTGTTGTATTCTAGACATAACGATAAGTCGCTTAAGTATATCTAGATTCTTGACTTAGTGCGTGCTGACTAAAAGAATGGGATTCTACAACCTGTTTTACACAGTGCCTGTCTGTCTACGAGAAGAACAGTTCCGGCCACACTGTCTGGCGAGTGGCGGTCGCTATAGCAACAGGCCTAGTATATTTCAAATAGGGGCGAACAAAGGATTGCTTTATTATTATTTTGTTTTTGGCGACTGTTGGCTGACGGGAAAAGAGTTTATTATTTGTCTTCAAGACACCCCTACGGTCTCCAAGCTAGACAACGATCGGAAACCGACTATTCAATAGACTAGGATAGGGTTTTACACAGGAGCCCAAGAAAACTGAACTTTGTTCACGAAGCAATCAAAACACCCCTACGGAAAATGGGTCAAGTCTCATTTCTACGGCAACAGACAGCTGCAGACTAACTGGCGAGAGCTTTCTTTTTATGATAGACAGACTGTACTAAGGCCAGAAGAGGTGGTCACTTTATTATGGAGGCGCCTAATGGTGGGCCATCTTTGCCTTCTTTGAAAGTACGGAGAGTTACAACCATGGTTTCTCTGGAATTGGAACAAGGGCCGTTTGGTATGCAGTCGGCTTCCCTAACCACTATACCGTCTGGGCGGCATATTTTTAAATATCTGGAGCTAAACTTCTTCTTGGGCACATTTCCAGTAAGCGGGTTTGGCGTCCTGGTAAAACAAAAACTATTACTAGTATATGAGAAAATATTTGTTGCAAGTTCATAGCTAATGTTTGAATAATTACATGTTTCCTGAGAGATCTCTCTATGTGATGATAATATATGATGAAAAAATATCGTGACTTGTTTTTTATAGGATTTAACTTTTAACCGCACCTTTTTAAATATACACTTTTGTACTCTATTTCATTAATTTCTGCAAACTATTTTTTTTTTTTTTTTTAAACTTTGGAGCTTGAATGTTAAAATCTTTAAGACATCAGACTGCAAAATGAAGTTCCGATTAAATTAGTTTCTTAGTTTCATTTAAAATATAATCTTTTTGATATGTACCTTGTACTTTTTATCATTTTCATATGGTTCTGCTGATACCATTTTACGTGGGAAAAAAAACGTGCAAAAAATAAGAGCTGGAGCTTTAAAAAATTCAAGTTCTTTCTCGTTGTTCTCTCCTCTTTTTAAAAGTTGAATATCCTTTGAAAAAAAAAAGCGGGTAAAACTTTAGTTTTGTTATTCGGGGGACATTAAATATTATTACTTTTATAATAAAAATCTCTTCTTCTTGGATAATATGTTAGATAAAAACTTCACATTTTTCTGAAAAATGTAATTTTTTATTTATTACAAAAACATGAGGCTTAATTCCTAATTTTTTTCTTTATTTTATTGGTTTATAATAAGCTCATTTTAAAAAATTAAACGTATGATTTCAATCTCTATAATAAAAAAATGTGGTGAATTTTTTTCACTATTAATAAAAAACTCATCAAACTATTTTGAAGCCGAACAACGAAGTATGGAAGACATTTTGTGAATTAAGTGCATTGTTCGTGTGTTGAAAACTGGCAACTACCCCGGTTGTTCCGACCGATTAATTCTTTTGTTTAATCTTCAATACTATGTACACATCACTGATTTGAGGGTGGTTCTAGCTCATTTAGAAAATCGTTGCTCACACAGGCTTCCTGCTTTTTCCTTCGGAGTGTTTTGGTAAACTGCCTGTTTTTAGAACCACACTCTCGAGAAATTTGTTTTAGAAACTAGCTATCATGTAAAATAAAGAAGCCAAAGTTTCCCCGATTTTATTTTCTTACTTAAGATCTAGTTGATCTAAATTAGAACAGTTTCTTCAATAATCAATGAGCTATGACTAAA